TTGGGGAGAAAAAGGAAAAAAAAAAAAAAATAGAAATCCTTTGCTGTTATTTAATAATCTTTTTGAGTTTAATGAAGCATAAATATTCCCTTACAAAAATATCAATAGTTTACAATACAGTATTAACTCAGAAAAGCAATTAAAATGGTTCTTAGAAAAGTATTACTCGATCAAATGAAGTTGAATCTCTAGTTGAACTGAAACTTTGTCTGTTTCCAACTCTGACACTTTTCTTTTGCCAGACATCCTTTAATAATTTCAGATAAGAAAAAACAGATCAGCTATTTTTAGAATGTATAAATTCAGAATAAAGTAAATAATTAAGAAAGAATACCTTTTTGAGCTAATCCATACTCCCACAAATTTCTAGGATCTGAGATTCAAAGACAGAAGCCTAAGTGACAACATTTCTTCTTATAATCCATTTAAATGGATGGCGGAACAAGAACACTTAACAAACTGAGGAACATTCAAGAACAGAGCACCTTTAAGTTTTTTGATCCAGGAATATTTTTTGGAATTCTGTAGACCACAGCCACTACATAGCAAAGCCTCTTTCACAATAAGCTCCTTATATTCCACAGCAGCTTCCAGGACCTCATGCTTTTATGAGTAAATGGAATGATTATACAACCTTTAAATGAGTTTACCCTGAAGGCATTATTTTAAGTCTGCAAAAAAGTTTTAAATAGCCCAGTATATTTTACTCAAAAATAGGTGGATGTGGTCAAAAGGTACAAACTTCCACTTATAAAATAAATAAGTCCTGCAGATATAATGTGTGGCATGTGACTATAGTTAATAAATACCGTATTATATACTTTAAAGTTGCTAAGAGAGTAGATCTTAAAAGTTCTCTTCATAAGAAAAAAAAATTTGTAACAGTGTGTGATGATGGATGTTAACTATACTTACTGTGGTGATCATTTTGCAACATATACATGTATCAAATCACGTACACCTGAAACTAATATAACGTTATATGTCAATTAGGTGTCAATTTTTTAAATGAGGGTAAAATATATCCTATGCAAAGATTCAGAGTTTCTGTGCATTTTTCTAACTTTATGTTTTTATTGAGCTAGGGAAGCATTATACACTTAAATTAAGAAACAGAAGCTAAATATTATACATCAATCTTGAAGCATTCTTCTCTTTTCTAAATTCTTCATTCCAATTTGTGTTTTCTTGGCCTTTACCCAATTGTCTAGTCTGGTGGCAAGACATTTCCCTTCTTTTCCTCCCTTTCCCCTACATATATAAAATACGTACATCTCCAAAATGGTGTATAGTTCATATTCTTTCTTTCCTTTGGTATTGAATAGATTGAAAATTTTCTATAACCACAATGAGATGAAAACTGATTGAAAGTTTTTACTCTGCATTTTATATGGTTTCCAATAAATACACTGTTATTCCTACCCGTGTTATAACCATTGGGAAGGACGTTTTAATTTGACTTTAAAAAATTTTAGATCGTTCATGTCTTACAACTATTAAACTGAGCTAATGCCCGTTGCCAGTCTTCCTCTTTTTGCTGAGGAAGATTGTCCCTGAGCTAATATCTGTGACTATCTTCTTCTATTTTGTATGTGGGATGCTGCCTCAGCATGGCTCGATGAGCTGTGCATAGGTCCATGCGCGGGAACTGAACCCGTGAACCCTGGGCAGCTGAAGCAGAGAACGCAAACGTAACCACTACTCCAGTAGGCTAGGCCCATCACAAGTTTTAAATTGCGTGCTGCTTTGAATAGCGTGATGAAATCTTGCGCCCTCCTACTCTGTCCTGCTGGGGATGTGAATCATCCCTTTGTCCAGCATATCCACACTGTATACACCACCTGCCCATTAATCACTAAGTAGCCCCCTCGGTGATCAAATCAACTGCCATGGTATCGCAGTGCTTCTATTTAAGTAAACTTTATTTTACTTAATAATGGCCCCAAAGTGCAAGAGTAGAGATGCTGGCAATTCGGATCTGCCATAGAGAAGCCGGAAAGTGCTTCCTTTAAGTGAAAAGGTGAAAGTTCTTGACTTAATAAGGAAAGAAAAAAAATCATATGCTGAGGTTGCTAAAACCTACAGTAACTTTTATTACAGTTGCTGTTATAATTGTTCTATTTTATTATTAGTTATTGTTGTTAATTTTTTACCATGCCTAATTTATAAGTTAAACTTTATCATAGGTAGGTATGTATGTATAGGAAAATACATAGCATATGTAGAATTTGGCACTATTCGTGGTTTCTAGTATCCACTAGGGGTCTTGGAACTTATCCCCTGAAGACAAGGGGAGACCACTATATGCACATGTGTTTGTGTACACGTGTGTGTAAGTACAAAGAAAAATAGGGGATGATACAGTGGTTTGTCACTATGGGTTACCTAGGCGAATGCTGTTGTCGGGGGAAAGGAGAAAGAAAAGGAAGCACAAAAAATATGTAATACTGATGTGACAAATCACAGTTATGGTGAAAAGTTGTAATTTAATCATTTAAATAATAGAGTATTTAAGACCTATCTCAAATGGAGCAACTGAAAGGAAAATCAAAAGCATAGGAAGATACATTAATTGATATAGTGTCTGCATTCTAGAAAAGGAACAGCTAATAAATAAGAAAAATAATACAGTTTCATACAGTGATAATTCATCTTAAGAATGTTAAACTTTAGGTAATGGATGGGGGAGATAGTCCTGAGCTCAGGAAAGACATCAAGTCTTGGAGAAGTAAATACGGAATTCATTATGGTACAGATGGTATGGAAAACCACATGATGTGACGTGATCATCTAGAGAAAGAGTGTAGAGTAAGAGAGAAGTAAGAGTTGCATTGTAGAGCATTCCAACATCTATAGAATGGGATATGGAAAAGGAAGTCACAGAGATGACTGAGACAGAGACCCTCCAGAAAACAAAGGGTGTGTTGTCCTTTAATGTTAGTGTTGAGGGAGATGAGGAATAAGTTCTGACCAATGAATTTGGCAATACAAAGACTGCTGGTGATGTCCACAAGAGCAAGTGAAGTGGAGTGGTGAGGATGACAGCCTACCTGAGATGAGTCAAAAAGAGTATAGGTGAGGAAGTGGAGATGATGGACAACTCTTTCAATGAGTTTTGATGTAGAGTATGTGACAGGAGTCATGCAGAGAAATGGAGCAATGAATGGAGGGGCACAATGGAACCAATGGAGGCTTTCTAAAGAGGATATTTATTACAACATCTTTGTATGCTGATCCTGGGGAAAATCTATGATGCAGGAGAAAGAAGAGATAATTGCATGAGAAAATTCAATGAGGAGTGTGAGGAAAAGGCATTTAACCTGTAAGGGAAGGCTTAGGATTAGGTTGGAGAAGGAACAACTAGATACATCCTTATTGAGGCATACTTCAATATATTATAAGAAAGTGCTTTCTTTTAAGAGTAAGTAATATTTGAAGTTATTCCACTGCATTTTATTAAAATCACTATAGATTTTTATCCCATCTGCTGTACCCTAGCTAAAGATCCACAACTGGCAACTTCAAACAAGAAAACCATGAATTTGCATCATGAGAGACATCTTCTTGCCATTTACATTCTCCAAAATTATAGACTAAAAAAGATGATGACATAAACAGGCAAAATACGTGAACAAATATTAATAGAGTATACACACACATATATACGCATCTATATAACTGTATATGTATATATATTCAGTTATTTTTCAATCCTGGTGCTATGCAATTTCCACTGACAAAATCAAAATCTGAAGATGTCTACTCATATTTTAGAAGAAAAAAGATAATTTACATCTAATTCAGAAGAACTTCATTCTTAGAAATTTCCCAAATAAATGTCTTCTCTACCGCAGTAGTTATTCTGCTATGTTGTGAGTAAGATAAGATTTTAAAATCACTAATCGAAGCACTCCCCCTTCTTCGTACTCATGCCAACAAGGACACCAGCATCTTTCAGACTCATCTGAAGTGTGAGAAAAAAATCTCCATGCTTTGTTTTGGATTTTTGTATGCTTAAAACCAGGGATTTCTTAAACCTTGACAACACAAGCAGAATACTAATAGCAGATAGAAATGTGGCAATCTTTTGCAACCAGTTTTTAATATGAAGCAAGGAAAGAGTTTTATTTCCCCACCTACACCCAGGTAGGCACAAAACAATACTGTAGTCAAAAAGTTTATGTAAACCTGGTTAATCACAGAAATAATAAACTAATGTTGAATAAAATTGGCCCATTTCTTTCTACTTATAATCCTTAATTTTCATTCACAATTACCCAGGAAAGGTACATCTACTTGCATACATAGTTTTATACTTAGAAAAACAAAAATCTACAAAGATAGTTTTTAAAGACCCCTGAAAATATTCGACCTAAAGCATTTCGACCTAAAACTTTCTCTGCATATCCAGTTTTCTTCGTATCAAGAACAACGGGATGATTCAGGAATCTTCAATGGACCCAAGAATAAGAAGAGACCATGATCTTTCTTTCCTTTACAGGTGAATAAAATAGCTCAAAATCCCAGCAAAAATCTTCTTATTCAGCAAAACCACTTTGGTAAAACTGCTTTTATATCAACTTCGTTTTTAGTTACAATTTTGTCTTTTAGTAAAAGAAAAACATCTAAATTATTCTTTTGATCATATTTAAACTCTTAATTCAGTCAGAGGAATGATGGTCCAAGCAACCAAAGCTAGAGAAAGAGACCCAAACTATGTTGATACAACATGTTTCAAGTTCAGGGAGCAAAACATGGGCAAGCTTGGCTTTTTATAACTAACATTTGTTTATAAATCAGCCCATTACCCAAGTTTTGAGCAAGTACTTGAACCCCAACAATAATGGAGATGTAACCTGAGTACATAGAAAAAGTCCCCACAGAAACAAACAAAAATTGACACAAGAGTAAGAGGTGGTTGTTGTTTTAATAAATTCTGACTCCGATTTTTGGTGTTTTGTTTTGTTTATTTGTTTGTTTGTTCAATTTGAAACTCTTACCATCTTGCTGACCATGAAGAGCCTGGGGACTCTGTATTCTTTCCTCAAGATTGGAGCTGAGATCGGAGTTCACAGCGGACATCCGTGTTGAATCACTCATATCAAATTCATCACTTTCTATTGAACTTTCATCCTGAAAATGGTTTTAAAATATCATAAAGCATCATAAAATACAACACACTCAAATAGTGACCGTTTTATCTATAAGGTCAGTTAGAGTTTAGCCAGTAAGCAAGCTTTTACAGAACTTGGTAAAATACATTGCACATTAATTGATACATGAAATAATAAATAATGGCATGATTTCTCCCTTTAAGGAATTTCAAGACTTGTGAAGATTCAAACAATGTATCTATGTATAGGAAGATTTAAAAGGTAAAATTATGTGCCTAGGGAGGATATCATTGGGGAATTATCCTTAACAATGAAAGAATGGATTTTTTTTAATTAGTAAAAAATTTCCTAAAAGAGTCAATTACAAACATAGCATAAAGAGAAATACACATTTTGACTTTAAAAATAAGTGACCTAATAAAATATTATAAGCAAAGTCTTACAATACAATAAGAAAACCTTAATCAAAAAATTTTCATTGGTAAACAGAACGGATTCTAATAATAGACAAACTTACATCGCTAGGTTCAAAGTCCACATTTATTGCAGAGCAAGGTAATTTTAGTACACCCTTTCTTTCCTTACAAGTAAATGTGAACTTCACTGCAACCACAAAAAGGAATTCTAGGTAAAATTGTGCAAGATCCATTTACCGAAAGCCAGATCACCAAATGGCTAAATTACCAAAAGGCCAATTTTCCAAATGACCAATTCATCAAAACCTGTCAAATATCAACCTAAACCAAATCTAAGATATTTTGCTGTAGTCATTTCACTGTAGCAAACTCCTTTTGGAAAACTGATTTTCAGAGAAATAGTGTGTTATGCAGGCAGAAAGTCTTGAGAAACCTGTGTAAAATATTGTAAATATTTAATCGAAATCACCAGGTTTAGTCAAAACCACTTAATTTGTAAATGTTTGATCTGAGAGTTTAACATTAATATAATAATTAGCAGTAGCAGTAGTGGTAGCACCATTATTTATGGTGCAGACATTGTTCTTTATTTATTCACTCACTTCATCTTCATCTTAACCTATGAGTTAGGTACCAGGATTCATCCAATTTTACAGATTGAGAAATTGAGGCACAGAGCTGTAAGTGATTTATCCCACTATTATATACCAGAACTGGGATTCATATGAAGTCACCCAGGCTTGAGAAAATAGCTGTTCATTAATTCAGAAGGAAATGCCACCCTGTGAGCCTTCTGGGCAATCAGCCACAAAGATTTCTCCCGGTGGCATGCCTTCTCTCTTGGTACGCTAGGTTTTCTCCAATTCTAAATTCTAAGACAATTCAAAGCATCTGAAATAAATATATATGTTAAAAAGAGAAAAAACAGAATTCAATGTGCACATCAATGAGCACCACATACATACTAATTTATGCACACATAGCTCAACGACAGAGATATCCAGCACGTATACTACACACAGTGTCTGTGACATCATAGTATTTTAGTGCACATTCTTTAGAACCAGACTGCCCAGTTCAGATCCGTGCTCTGTCACTTATCAGATGTGTTACTTCAAGCAAGTTACCCAACCTTTCTGTGTCTCAATTTCCTCATTTATAAAATGGGAATAATAATGGTATCAGTCTCATGGGGCCAAATAAGGATTGAGGGGGTATAATATATTTAAAGTAGTTAGAACAATATCAGATACATAATAAGCATGGAACTGTTTGATACTGTTATGTAGAATATATAACAAATTCTAGAGTAAATAATGTTTCATATTTATTATATTATATGAAACATACAAAAAATAAATTTAAATATAATAATAAAGATGAACATGTGTTTATAAAGCAGCTGTGTATTCTACATAAACATAGTCTTTATAATAAGCATTTATTATATATACTACAAATAGCTAACTGTATGTAATCTAGTAAAATAATGTTTCCATAGTGTGTGTATATATACAACCATCTGAGATACATACATGTGTGTGCATATAAAACTTGTGTATATGAGAATATGTGTGTGTGTGTTCAAGGAAAAGGTAGATACAAAGAGCCAGGTCACAGTCTCCGTGCCATGGAATGGTTCTAGAAACTACTATAGCACATTATGGATAATCAATACACATTTTATGACCACTCTTGTAAGCATACTTTTTAAGGAATTTGGACAAGAAATTAAAATGGTTATGTAACCAAATGGACTTGTCCTGTATTTGTTTTGTATTTTTATTTTTTTAAATCACCATTTTAAAGTATTTATCACAAGTCGCTTAATGATTGTGACTATTTTAAATATTTTCCTCTATGATTTCCTATGAAAGACAATTTACTTTTCATAATTCTACTCCTCATTAGAATATGAATTATCCAATTGCTTACATTTATAAAGGGCTTTAATGAAATTAAGTGCATGCATTCCTACTGTAAGTTCTATTCTAATTATTAACTGATTAAATTATCTTTTAATAAAAAATGGTGCAAGTGTATAAAATGTAATACTGTAATTTTTTATTATCAACAGAGAGATAATGCTAATCACCATAGGAAGAAATTACTGAAGATTTCTAAGGGTAAAGAATCAGAAAACTCGATGGATATGATATTAACTATTTTATTCATGATCATCTTTAGGTCATTCCTCTAAATCCTTCCCTGGAGGAGTATTTTGTTTTGTATGACAACCAGGAAAAGAATCTCCACGTCCTACAATGTGAGCTTATTCCTATGTTACTAAAATCTCATTATAATGAAAGCCATGGCGAACCCCCATAGAATTCTGCTTCCTTGAAACTTACTTTTTACAAATTATAACAAATATTTTACTGTAAAAAATAATTTTCTTCCCAGGCTTCTCCCTTTTAAAAATCACATTTAGTACTTTTTTAAAAACTTCATTACTGAGATTTTATTTCTATTTTGAGAAGTTTCTGGGAATTCACATTTTTAACCTGTTCCATATTTCATTTTAGTTTGCAAATTCCAGGTGTTACCTCTAAAGAGTCCCTACCATATATCTCCTGATTTCCATTGCTATTGTCCTGATCAGTTTAAGATCTCATTTTCTCATATCCTGAAGGACGTAATAGGAGTGTGTCCTAATTATCCACACGCCTCCAGTTTCTTCTCATCAGTCCTGTTCATCAACTACCGCCAAATTAATCTTCCCATTTCAGAACATGCTACTTCTCTACTCACAAGTTTGAAGTTATATCCAAGTCAATACAACTAGCATGTAAGCTATTCAGTCAAATATTTAGGGTTTTCCATGAGACTGCTTGAATATCACTCCCACCAATCTCATCTTTGTGCTGTTTTTCACTGGCCTTATGCTCAAATCAACTTAAAACCTATATTATTAGCCTTTCTATGAAATGCACCACCTCAAACCTTAATGTGCCTGAGTGTAGATCTTGTTAAAAACTCAGATCACCCGGTCCCACACATCGGATTTAGAATTAGAATCTTGGGGTGGGAGTCCTGCAACATGCAGTTCAGTAAGCTCCACAGTGCCTCTAATGCTGGTTATTTAGTCAGTCCCTTTAAGAAAACATTCTGCAGTGATGAAATTGTTCTATAATAGTCCCTATTCAGTAAGGTGACCACCAGCCTCACTTGGCTATTGAGCACTTGAGATGTGATTAGAGCAACTAAAGAACGGAAAATTTAATTTTAGTCAATTTGAATTAATTTTTAACTAAATTTAAATATCCACATGCGGCTAGTGGCTACTATATTGGACAGTGCAGATTTGACAATTCCTCACTATCGGATCTTGAAAATATTTTAAATCATTCACTATTAGCTATGCAATAAAAATCCTAATATATAAATTGTTTCATACATCACATTCCTTAGTATAAATTTCTAGTCAAAGCATATAAATAACTTTTAAAAGTTTTAATAATTATTGCCAAACTCTCCTGCAGAAAGTTTGTTCCAGTTTAAATGCTCATCAACAGTTTATAAGAAAGTCAGTTGATCTTAAATTGGATACAATATTTTGTAATCCTAAAAAGATTCCTATTCCTGGCCTTCTTTATTTCTCTTAATAGCATTTAGCATCTTATATACACACTTTCATTATTTACTACCTTTATTGTCTGTTCCCCGCCGCCCACTGGAAGATCAGCTTAACAAAGGCAAGATTTTTGTCAATTTATTCACTGTTTAATTCCATTATCTATAAAAGTGCCAGTTACATAGAAGGCACCCAATAAATACTGGTTGAACTAATTGAATTAACACATTAAAATCCAGATATGACAATTTGAATTCCTAATCACAAAGGAATATCTTACTTGAATTCCATTTTAACCATGAATTCCCTTACTTGCCCTCTCATCTTTCAATAATCACAATTTCTAAAATTCTGTAAATAATCTAAGTAGACATTTATCTGAATATGTTTAAGGCAATGCACATCCAATTTAGTATTCTCAAAACGTAAGGATAAGAGTTATTTTCCTAACCCAGTTATATATTTTAAAGGATCTATTTCCTTTGTGCGAAATACGTATGATTTTTTAGAAGCCAGAAAGATTCAGCATATGTGGGCTATGTTGTTGGCACAAAGTTGATCTTCTTACTTTTTGGCCTAGAAATAAACATCTATATCTAAATGAGCTTCTTACAAATAATTTGACAGGTCTAACCAGTTTTATGAGGTTTTGTAAAATTTTTTTTCCAATTATGTAATGAATCAGGGGAATAATTTTTCCATTCTCAGGAATGGATAGACATTAACATTTTGTAATTGTCTTTCATGTCTTTAACCCAACAATTTTATTACTATTTATTTAATCATTTATATGTAGCCATCTGGTAATATGGAACCTGACACTGCCACTGCACTAATACAGATCTTCTTACAGACTGTACCCTTAATAAAGTCTTTCGAGATAAAACAATTTTATAAACATAGTTTTGAGATTAAACCTGCTCAAATAAAGAGAGAAACAAAAAATTTGATTTGAGTTTTATAAAGTTAGCTCAACAAAGTAATTTTAAAGAATTTAATAATACTTCAACAAATAATGCTATATTTTAAAAACAAATATTTAACCATATTTCCTGTTCTAGAGAAATTTCAAGAAAGAGAGAATTTATTAGCCTGAGAAACTATCCCTAACAGAGATAATCTGAATATGTCTATCGATTAATGTCTACTAACTAGTTAACAAGGATTTACTAAACTCTTATTGTTATAAGCCTTTGGGAGAATATACACAGGTTACATGTGTAACTTGGTTCCTGCCTTTGAGATAATTCAACTAAACTGGGGAGTTAATTAGTATCCTAGAGAAAAATATTCAAAAAATGTGCATTTTATGTCTAATAAATGCCAGCAAACACATTGCTAGATTCTTATTATACAAATTAAATGGAATAATTTGAAACATCAAAACACTTCTAATTAAGAAGAATCACCACAAATTATCTCTAGAAAATGCAGAGAAGTAGACAAATATACAGAATATCAGTTAACCATTATTTATAACCAATAATGAAAAATAACCTTAAAATATAGACAAGATTTGGATGGTAGAGAAATGATTATACTTGAAATACCTATTAAATTGATTTTTCTGATTTCTAGGGAAAAACAGTCATAATACTAAAGGCTTTGATACTTTCCTTGGATACTCATTCATTTGTCATACTTTGTCCTGAACTTTCTAGTACTTTACCAAACCTAGCTCGATGGTGGTCAGCTAAGGAAAATGAATCTTTCTTGGGAATGAACAAATTTCCACATAGCACTAAGATGTATGTGTTAAGACAGGGAATCTCTATCAAGGACTAGAAGTTTCTGTCTGTTTCTCCATCTGTGCAATCCTAGTGACATCCCTTTCATTAAAAAATAAATTACCGTCTTCAAAATGCCGTCATGCTTAACGCGATAGTCATGGTTATCAAACTTCATTCTGACATGTAAGCGATACAAACGTAGATATTTCCATTTTACCTCATCTTGCTGTGAGTTCAGCAGCTGCAGTTTCATGTGCTTCATATAGGCCATGGTAATTGGCATGTTGTAATCAATCATGCTGGTCACCAAAGTGGGAGGTTTTCCATTATCTGTAATAAAACATTTTTAATGGGTAATGAAAGTGATACTGCATTCTACCTATAATTTCAGAATGATCCAATTTGGTCAAATTGAAACAAGATTCTAGATACCGAGTGTTTAGGAGATTGGTAGCATCATAGAAGGATTGTAGAAAAAAATAACTGGTAAAGTTCTACAAAGGTGTATGGGCATGAATGAGCCCTATGGAAAAATTAGTTATTTCTAACTAGAGGGGAGCTTTTTGACATCATGGTAATACTGAGTGAAGCTACTATAGTGATAAAATACAATTATTTGTAGTTTTGTATTTTTCTCCTTTGCTGCACACTTATTTTCTATATGCACTACTTGAACGCAAAAGGAAATTATCTTTTCTTTTTCTTTTTATTTTGTGCCAGTCTATTCATCCTTCAACACATGGGAATGGGATAGCCTAAATGTATCTTTGAGATTAATTTGATCTCTGAGAGAAATTCATAGAAATGGAAAATAATCTAGATAATTCTTGATGAAAGCTAAAGCCACTCAATTTTTATGTAAGAATTTCAGTGATGGAACTCCATACTATTCATCACTTTCAGAAATAAGGAGTTGGTAGATTTATAAGGACACTTGATAGAACATCAATTTCCTTGCTGAATGTATCTAAAATACCATGAAATACACATGATAAATGAAAATTAAAACATTATCACAGGAAAAAAAGTTATTTGCCACAGTCAAAACTGTCTTTCTTCTAAGCACGGACACTGAATTACTCTGTAAGTGGATACTCAAAATTCACTGCCTGCTACTTGAATAAGTGAGATGATCTGACTTGTTGAACTGTTTCAGTCTACTGCATTTTTATAAAAATGTGAGATATAAATTGCCATTATGAATAAAATTACTTTAAATCTCACTATTTGACATTGCGGCTACCTTTATGATCTGTTCCATCTGGGTTTAAATGCATTCTTTTCTGGCACTCTGAGCAGCTCATTAGAAATCGTGTCACCGCTTCTCTTGGTAGGAAGGCATAGCTCTCTGAAATCTGAAATGATTCACAAAACAGAGGTGTTATTATAGAAGCTGACTGGGCATGATTTAACAGAAATGATCATTGTATTTCCAAATAAGACGCATTATTCCATAATGGCAGGAAGCACAATGAAAGCATGCATTGCATACCATGCATCATTTCAAGAAATATCTATCCAACTTGATTGCATGTCTCTTAATATAGCTAATAACGCAATGTGGAGAAAAAAATCAACCACATCTGGATGGATATCTGTTTATATTTCTGCATTTCTTTTAGGAAAAGTAATCACAGTGTACAGATATTCTAGTGACTTTTCCATATTAAAAATTGCCAACATTGTTTTTTAAACTTACTGCCAGCACTACCAAAATTTTATCCAATTTTACAAAAATTTTTAAAATTTAGCCCCAAGGAAAAACAATAAACTTTGGATTTTGCATTCATGAGCATTTCTTCATTATTGCTTTTCAAAAAAATTTTTAAGTGAAAATAAAAGATACTTCTAAGAGAACTCATGTATGTATCTACTGCAGTGAACCATCCCTTCCACAGAAAATGACACACCTGGAAATGCACTTCAGCCACCTACTTCATTTGTTATTTCATGTCAGTTTTTTCTAATTTATGTCCATAATAACTCACATTGTCAGAGCAAGCTTTCCCCACACCCTCAACAGAGCTCCTACTTTCAGAACCATCATCTAGAATCAAGTTAGAAATCAATACTCCTGTCAGTGATATTTTAAACATTAACTTTTCAAAAGCCAGGGTATTTCTCTCATCAAAGTAAATAATTTCTGAAATGAAACTGATAAGATTGTTAAATATCTCTAAATAAAAGCTGACACTGACTCAGACAGGGCTGCTAAAAAGTCTGATGTCGCGTATTAGTTTTCCACTGTAGCGCCAACACTGGTACATGAAAGAGACAAGCAGGAAGAATCAGTGAGTTGTAAATTAGATATCAATGCCACAGACGGTTTCTCAGGTGCACATATGGCTGTTATGAACACTAGTGTATTTTAAGTTTGTAGAAAGGAAGGGAAATATGCACCTCATGTATAATTGAGTACAAAGCTCCACCAATCCATTAAGGATGTGGTCAACTTTTGCTGATCCTTGCTGTAGAAGGAGCACAGTACTGAGGAAACCCCACACACTGAGATCCAAAATTGTAAAGCATGTTTTTTTCCCTGAATTTAGTATTAAAATCAGTTTACAACACTTAGCTATCCCAGTGACTCTGGGGGTAAAGAAGCCGAAAGGATACCAAAGAGAAGAAACAAGTCTACAGTGAAAATCTACCATGGATGATCCACATACAGGTGATTAAAATTTAACTCTACTAGGATTTGAAGTACGAAATACTGATTTTTAATATTACTGTCATATGTAAATTAAGATGTTGTCCAGCTTAAAAAAAAATTCCTCATACTATACAAAGAATTGTGGGAGAAAAATCTGAAAGTATTTCGTTGAACTATTTTATATTAGTTATTAAATAAGGAAATATATACTATATACAATTTAAATTCTCATTCACTTTCTCTTATTCTCTTTCTACACACACACACACATGCATGCACATACAAATTTGATTGTTATTCATTCTTTTACAGAGGCAACTAACACTTTGCCAGATTTATTTATCTGATTAGAGATGATTTTTTCTGACTTTCTGAACACCTATTTTAAATAATTCAGAAGTTGAAAAAAAAGCTATGCTGCATGCCCAGTCCCGATATTTTTTTTTCCTTAACTCACGTGGAATTATATTCCATTGAAATTAATAGGGTTGACCAGTAAATTCATTAACGAATAGGATTTGAGAAGGATGCTCCATTGATTTTCATTAAGGATTTCCATGTAATCTTTTCTCTACTTATATAAATGAGAAATAATTTTCCATTGAATAAAAGATAGGCAAGTGGTGGAGTTGAACTGACACTGCATTTACTTCTGTGATCCTGATGGTCACCGTAATCTGTCCTTTTCCAAATGCTAATAAAGCACTAGCGTAGGAATCTCTTCTGGACAGATTTATTATTGACCTGACTCAATTATATTACTTGTCCTAGCACTACATGGCTCCAAATCAATTTTTCTTGGAATCATTATTAATCATATTACATTTCTTTTATAGTTTTACTCTGAAAAACAAGTACCTGTAATGGTCACATTTTTGTCCATGTTCATGTGTACACAAAAAAATATAAAGTCCCACTTTGTATCTTAGAAAAGATTTTTTAGAAAGTATTTTATCACATTATTCTCTGTGGTGTTATTCTAGCATAGCCTTGGGGTGTCACTCTATGTGACATAAGTGGACAAAAGCACACATTTGGGGGGACTTTTCTTGGTGTTCAGACATTTTTCCGAGGAGACCTGCCGAGGTATCCCACTCTCCTCAGATCTTTTCTCCCCCACCGCATGCTCACTGGGTCTCAGAGACCGCTGCATCTTCTTAGGCACAGGAAGAAGAGGTCCTCAGGACAGGCTCTTCAGGTCTGAAACAACACTTCTCCTGCCATGGAGGTGAAAAGGGACAATCATTCCTTTTTCCTCATCTAGAATCTTTCCTCCCAGGCCCCTCTGAAACTAGGAGTTCTATGCAATCTTCATTGCTGAGGCTCTCGGAACCTTTTAAAAAATGAAGAAATGTCCTTAAAAACTTCATAAGTTATGGCACATTTGAACAATTACATTTCACAATTAAAGCCCTTTGATGAAATTCTGTCTTTTGCTCCTGTCGGTATTCTCCAATAACCCTGTTCAGAGATAACATTGAAATCCTATGTGAAGCCTCTTTTGAACTTGAGGCCTGGGCTAAATGCCCCTATGGCCCCTGCACTGCTGAAAGGCCCTGCTTCCGTGAATGTTTGAAATGCTAAATTAACTTTAAATAGATCTTCATAAATGGTGATAAATTCAGGGACATGTTCTTCTTGGCTCTTCATTCATCAAAGTCCTAACATCCTCCATGCAATGTGTAACAGTAGTTGCAAATAAAACCTAGAAATAAGGAATAGAAATTGAGAAATATTTTGATTCAGCTACTTGAAATACCATTCTACGAGCACTATAATTAATCATATAAAATGCTATAATCATTCATAAATGTCTATTTCCTTGACCTACTTTTCAAATCTAATCACTTCTCTGTTTCCAGGATAGAAATTAGACTTTGAATATACAGTACAGAACATTTCCAAGAATACTGGTAAGGATAACACTTCACATGAAAATGTATTCTTAGAAATATCTTTATATTGGGGAACGATAAAGACTATTTCCTTAGAGTTTGTTTATGGACACAGAAACACTGCATTTTGTTATTGATAAGAAGCAAAAATTAATATGAAGGAGTATCAGTCTTGCTCCCTCTGAACTAAACACTAAAAGACAACTGCCATGTGACAAGCCACATATATTGCTTACAACGGAAATAAGCATGCAAAGGAAGGACTAGAACATAGCCATAATAAACCGCATAAACTAATGACCTAACATTATTTATCAGGTAAATAATTTGAGGTATCTATTAGAAATGTTATTTTCTATAAATATAGACTTTTTTCTTACATTTATATAATGCTTTATACTTTTCATTGGGTTTCTGCATCCATTATTTTAGAGAGTAGCTAAAACAGATTTCATGGTAATGTTTTGATAAATGGATCAACTGACATAAAGAGATGAAATGAATTGCCATTGCTACATAGTAGAGCAAAGAGCTGGATCTCAAACCTGGATTTCCCAAATCCTGGTCTATTTCTATAAATCGAATGGACTGTGGTGGGCTTATACAAGAGACAGACAAATGCTTAGGGTCCAAGGAAAGTAGGGATGTTAAAATAGATTTTTAAAAATTTCATATTTCAAAAAAATCCCAAAGTATCAGTGTTATCACAGAACAAAGTCAGCACTTGTGAAACTTCCTCAAAATTAAGTTATAGCTGAAGATTTGTTGTTGTTATTGTTATTTTTTAACTTTGAATTAGCTACGGTTGAGGGCTGGGGATGTTGTGATATAACAATTTTTCACCACTTACCACTTCCAAAGACTTTTTTTTTAAATTGAAGTATAGTTGACATACAATGTTATGTTAGTTTCAGGTGTATGACACAGTGACTTGACGTTTATATATACTACAAAACGATCACCTCAATAAGTCTAGTAACCATCTGTCACCACAGAGTTATTACAATATTATTGACTGCAATCCCTATGCTGTATATTATATCTCCATGACTTATTTATTTCATAACTGGAAGTTTGTGCCTCTTAATCCCTTTCACCTATTTCGTCCAACGCCCTACACCTCTCCTCTCTGGCAACTACCAATTTGTTCTCTGTATCGATGAGTCTGCTTCTGTTTTGTTTTGTTTGTTCATTTGTTTTGCTTCTTAGATTCCACATATAAGTGAATCATATGGTGTTTGGTTTTCTCTGACTTATTTCCCTTAGCATAATACCCTCTAGGCCCATCCATGTTGTCCAAATAACAAGATTTTATTCTTTTTTATGGCTGAGTAATCTTCCTATATATATATTATATGTATAAATAATATATATATATACACACACACACACACACACACACACACATCTTCTTTATTCATTTATCCATGGGTACTTAGGTTGCTTCATATCTTAGCTATTGTCGATAATGCTGCAATGAACATAGGGGTGCATATATCTTTTCCAATTAGTGTTTCTGTTTTCTTCAGGTAAATAACCAGAGTGGGGTTGCTGGATCACGTGGTAGTTCTATTTTTAATTTTTTGAGGAACCTCCACACTTTATCCATGCTAACACTTGTTATTTGTTGTCCTTTTGATAATAGCCATTATGACAGGAATGAGGTGATAACTCATTGTGGGTTTGATTTGGGTTTCCCTGATTAGTGATGCTGAGCATCTTTTTATGTACCCGTGGCCATGTGTATGTCTTCTTTGGAAAAATGTCTTTTCAGTCTAAAGACCTTAATTCATCTGTGTACTGAACA